ATAATTTTCTTGAAGAGTCTAGTCTATCATGTCCAGTTGTTCCATGGTTAGATGCTCCTATAAATATACTTCAAAACTATTTGATATGTAGAAAAAGAAAAAAATGCCTGATTAATCTCCCTACTTTTCTATAGACTTGGAGTATGTCTAAAATCACATCCATTTAGCATGCAACCATATGCAGAATCTATCTATAGGATATGCAGGTAAAATTTTGATGATTATTAAAAAGTGACCAGAACAGTAAATCGACAGGTACTGCTAGGAATTCAAGCTGGGTTCAGAAGAGGCCATGGTACAAAGGATATCATTGCTGATGCCAGATGGAGCTTGGCGGAAAACAGAGCATACCAAAAGGATGTTTGTTTCTGTGCTTTCTTTACTATTCATAGGTGTTTGTGATGAGAAGAATGGGAATTCCATTTTTGGAATCTCATTCATAAGCATCCCATGAATCGTGTTCATGTGAAACCTATACCTAGACCAAGGAGCAGCTGTCCAAACAGAACAAAGGAATACTGCAAGATTTAAAATCAGGAAAGCTGTGCATCACAGTTGTATCCCTCATACTAATTCAATTTGTATGCTGAGAAACTATACTGTATGAAGAAGGTGGCACCAGGATTGGAAGAAGACTCAACAACAACCGGCATCAAGCCAGCATCAACTTTGCAAGAGGACTTGAAACACTTTCTGCATTAGATCAAAGACTACAGCCTTCAATATGAATTACAAGCCTACATCAAGGAGACAAAACTCCTCATCGTGGAACCAACAGGCAACTTCATGAGAGATGGAGAGAAGTTTGAAGTTGTCGATGGTATCACCATGCTTGGATCGACAACTAACGCTCTTGGCATCAGCAGTCAGGAAATCAAAAGATGAGCTTCAATAGGAAAATCTTCTGCCAAGAACCTCTCCAAAGTGCTAAATACAGATTCAGATAGTGACTGTAACGATGTGCTCATCCACAGCAGAGGTTGTGAGAGCAGTGCAAGGTTATGATGTTCATGGTACACCATGAGTTATAATCAGGTTGATGCTTCCTTACAATGAAATAAATCTTCTCTCATTATTGATAAGGTTTTAATTAATCAGTTTTCTAAGCAGATCATGAATATGGAAGTTCTGCGAACATCTACCCATCCTGGGTGAGCCTGGTCACCACTGGGCCAATAGACAACATCATGATAAATGGAGAAAAGATTGAAACTGCTAACAATGTCATCTTATTTGGATCCCTAATTAACACCATTGGCATCAGCAGTCAGGAGTTCAGAAGACATATAGCTTTGGGAAAACCTACCGTCAGGGACTTCTCCAAAGTCCTGAAGCACAATGATGTCAGCTTAAACATTAAGGCATGCCTGATCCCAGCCAAAGGCTTTTCAATTATTTGCTACGTACCTGAGAGCTGGACAATGAATATGGATGGCAGGATAAGACTCAATGCTTTGAGTTGTGGTGTTGGAAGACAGTACTGAATATCCCTGGGACAGCCCCAAAGAACACATATGTCTTGGGTAATGTGTAGTCAGAGTGCTCCTTAGAGACAAGGAGAGTGAAACATCATCTCACCTACTATGGACATGTTGTTAGGAGCCAGTCCTTGGAGAAGGACATAATGCTTGTAAAGAATACCTTCCAAGAGATGGATTGATACTGTGACTGTAACAAGAGGCTCAAGACTACTGGAGATGGTGAGGAGAGACAGAGCAAGATTCAGATCTGTTATTCACAGAGTCACTTTGAGTTGCAGTAGACCCAACAGCACATAATAACATTAACAATCACAGCTTACAGTATTATGTTGTTAGGTGCTATCAAGTCACGGATGACTCATAATGAGCCCATGAACAAGAGATCGAAACCCTGTCTTATCCTGTGCCATCCGTATCATTTCCCATATACTTGAGCCCATGTCCACACTATGCTGACCAACTAATCCTAAAAGATGCATTATATGAAGAAGAGGATAGCATCAAGATTAGCAATCTAAAGTTGCACTGGTGGCTGAGTGGTAAAGAGTTTCACTGTTAATGCATGAGTCCATGGTTCAAATCCATCAGCAGCTCCATGGGAGAAAGATTGGCAATATCCTTACATGTGATTAAACTGCATCTGAAAACCCACTGAAGGGTCAACTATGAGTCGGTCTGACTCAAGGTTTGTTGTTGTGTTGTCATGTGCCATCGAGTCATCTGTGATCCATAGCGACCCTATGTACAGCAGATCTGAACCCTGCCCTGTCCTAAGCTAGTCTCACTGATTCCAGTACATCAATCTCTGTTGTCCCAATCACTGTATCAATTAATCTCATCTGGGATTTTCCTCTTCTGAGCTGTCTCTTTTGCCTTTCAAGCATGATGTCCTTCTCCAAGGACTAGTCTCTCCTGGCCACATGCCCAAAGTATATGAAACAAAGCTTCAAAATCTTAGCCTCCAAGGAGAGACTTGGTTTCACCCTAAGACAGGCCTATTTGTTTTCTTGGTAGCCCATGGTATGTTTAAGACTCTTTTCCAACACCACAACTCAAAGTCATTGATTCTTCTTTTGTCATCTTTCTTCCAGCTCTCTGATGCACAGCAAGTAATTGAGAAGACCATGGCCTGCTGGATTAGGTACATCTTAATCTCTAGACTGACATCATTACTTTTCAGCACTCTGGAGAGGTCCTTGACAGCAGATTTTCCCAATGCAATTCATCTTTATTTAGATTTCCTGACTGCTAGCATAAACAGTGTTGATCGCGGAACTGAGCAAACTGTAATTGTTAACAACTTCAATCTTTTCTCCATCTATTGTAGTGTTGCCAGTTGGCCTAGTGGTAAGAATCTTTGTCTTCTTGACATTAAGCTTCAATCCATATTGAAGACTGCAGTCCTTGACCTTCTACAGCAAACACTTCAGGTCTTCTTCAGTTTCAGCAAGCAAGGTTGTGTCATCTGTATGATGTAGGTTGTTGATGAGTCTTTCTCCAATTATGATGCCACATTCCTCTTCATAAAACCCAGATTCCTGAATTGATTTGTTCTGCATATAGACTGAAAAGGTATGGAGACAAGATGCATCCCTGACACATTCCTCTCTTGACTTTGAACCACACAGTGCTTTATAGCAACATTAACAACAACCTATGACATGCAAACTAAATAATAGCCTTGCTTGCAAAAAATGATGACAGCTTGAGCCAGCTACCGAATAATGTCAAATACTACAACTTTTAAAATTATTTGCACTTGATAATAAAGAATAAAAAATAAAACTTACAACTTGAACAGTAAACAGTATCATGGTATATACAGAAACTGAAGCTGTCAATGCAGAAGAGTCTCTGAATATTGCACTAGGATGGTAAGAAGCCAAGATAAAAGGAAGAAAAGAGAATGCTAAAGAGTTGAACAATGATAGAATTTGTCTTTTACTTTTCAAAGAGAAGAACAAACTGGAGGGGAGGGGTGGGCAGGGAGAAAAGTGCAACAGTGAATAAATGGAAGTCCAAAGTCTCTGTAAACTTTTATTAAAATTAATAATAATGATAATAATAATTTTTTTAAAACCCAAACATTTAAAGAGTTGAACAGAATGTCCATACAAGCAGCCATCAAGAAATCAATTGACACACCGGGTAAATTGACTGCAAAGAGATGTCACAATGATAGTTAAGATTCCTCTGACCCAAACTATGATCTTTTTAATTGTCTCACATGCATACAAAAGCTGGACAATGGACAATTAAGTAGAAAAATTGATTCAGTCCAACTGTGATGCTGACAAAGAATACTATGGGCTGCCAGAACAACAACAACAACAAAGCAGTCTTAAAAGACATACAACTTAGAATACTTTTTAGCAAAGACAGTAAGATTTTAGTTCGCATTATAACTTTAGGCAAATTATCAGAACAGTCTGTTATAACAGCAAAAGGCAACCTAGTTGGTAGAACGAAGGTCGGCATAAAAAGGAGAAACTCAATGTGAAGGACTGATAACAAACGTAGAAAAAATGCACTCAAGCATACCAGTGATCATCAAGATCATACAGGAGGTTTGTACAAGTTGCATCAAATTACACAGCAATAAAGACAGAACATTACATAAATTTGAAATATCCACATAATAGAATTTTAGATAGCCATTAATGAGTTTCTAGAAATGTGTGCAATAATATGGTAATGTGTTTACAATACTACTGGATCTCTGAAATAATATTTCTATGAATGAATACACATCTATATAAATCTGTGTGTACATATATTTCCACAAAATTTTTAGAATAAAATGAAACGTGTTGCCATCAAGGTCCATTCCGACTTACAGCAACCCTATATGATGAAACAAAACTGTCCCCTAGCATTTCCAAGGTTGTAATTTAAAAAATATTACAGTTCAAGTGGCATAGTCTGTAGGGAGTTTCTCTGTTAACCTGAAGCGGGTGCCTCTTTGGTAGCGTAAACCCACCCACCAGCTGTTCCATGAGGAAAGATGGGCAATCTCCTCCTGTGCAAGTTAGTCTCCAAAAACACACTGGAGGTCAGCTATGAGTTGGTTCCAAGTCGACAGCAACAAGGCGGAGAGCTCTTCACAGAAGCAGGCTGTCACATCTTTCCCCTACAGAGCAGCTAATGGATTTGAACCACTGATATTTCAGTTAGCAGAGGAACACTTCAACCACTGGCTTTAAAAAAGGGTGTTAACAGTTATTTCTGTTGCGAAGATCTTTAACTTTTCTCTTTTTCTCACTGCCCTAATTTTAATAAAATAATCATGCCTTGTTCTTACAGTTAAAATGTTTATCATAAAAAATTAATGAATACAGAAGTCCCTTTTCAAGTTCCCTAACTCTGTGTATGGGCCCTAGTAAAAATGGCCTGTTCTTAAGAGAGAATTTGATGACCCCTCCCAAATCTACCTCCTAGCTTAGTTCCCCACCAGCACAGGAGCAATGGCTCTACTCACCAAGCCATCCCGGATGCATGGGGTCTCCACCAGCCTCCACACGCCATTCTCTACAGTGACTCCCAGCCAGTTGAATGCGGCCCAGCACCAGAGGTCCTCATACCCACCATGCCAGTAGCTCACAAATGCAAATGTCATTGCAGTTGAAAACAACCTCTTCAGTTGACCATGCTGGGACCCGCCCAAGGGAATGTACACGTACCTGGAGAAAGAAGAGGCTGTTAGGAGGGCATGCTCAGGTACAAACCATAGCTTCCTTAATTCCATGAATTCTCCATCACACAAAGAATTGGCAAAGGCATAAGCCTCAGCTTTGTAGGGCTTTTGGAGAAATGAAAACACATGGTACAGGTCTCGCAATACTAGAGAAAAACAGCTCTCCCAAGTAGCAGAGAACGAGCAGTAGATTTATAGTTTCTGAAAGGGTGCACCTTCCCTGGAAACCCAATCACAGAATGACAAGTGAGCTTCTGATTATGTGGGGACAGCAAACCTTCAAGGCAAGTCTGCACATTAAGTTCATGTAAAATCCATTATTTAAGCACACGTTTGCTGACAGTGTTACGTAAACTGCAGTAGTGGGGTAGATAAAAAGTGTGAAGGATGGCTCCCCCAGCTTTCCAGGCAAGCTGCACTCACTGAATGTACAAAAAGAAAAAAGAGCTCCCTGTCACCAGGTGCCCAGGTCTCCATCCAAAATGTGCACGCGCCCTTCAGTGTGTTCTCCACTCAGAGACAGCTATTTTGATATAGGAGGCAGAGCCATGGCTTTCAATCAGTATTTTCCCAGAGAGTTGGACAAATCTCACACCTTTGGTTGTTAGAACCTTAAGCACTAGGAGAATACTTGCCTTGCAACGGAATTTAAAACACTAGTCTTAAAACACACACACACACACACACACACACACACACACACACACCCCTCAAAACAAAACAAAAAAACCCCACCGGTCTTTGGTTAAGTTCTCAGCTACTAACTGAAAACTGGGCAGTTTGAATCTGCCCAAAGGTGCCTCAGAAGAAAGGCCTGGCAACTGATTTCTGAAAAACCAGTCTTTGAAAACCTGTGGAACACAGTTCTACATTGACGCATGAGGTCAGTAGGAATGAAGATTAACCCAATCACAACTTTTTTTGGTTTATTTTTGGTCACTGCCTCTTTGTTCAATGCAAGGATGGAAGGAAATAATGTCCTGAATACCCAGTGTGTTCCAGGCGTAGCACTGAACTCTGTACATGTTATGTTTTGTTTGACTCTGAAGCATCAGATGGCTGACACTGGTTTTCACCTGCTATCTCAAAAAGCTTAA